ATTAGTACAGTGTCAGCACAGTGAAATAGTCTCATGCTAAATATTGTGCAATCCTTGTGCCATTTCTTTGTGCAATAAATGGAACTGGAAGATCGGACAGTTGCTGGAAAACAAAATTCAACTGCTGCGTTTATCACAGTAGTAGGAAGTGTGCTAATAAGTTATGCCAATATAAATGCTGTCATTCAGAGCTCAGACTGCTTGTTGCTGTGTTGTAAAACTAGAAAGGTTACTCATGGATGCTGCTCAGACAGTCAAGTGAATCTTTAATAGCCAGAAATAAAGAGCGCAAAACAGTCATGCAAAGGCGACAAATTCTGCCTAAAGGATAGGGGGGCAAAAAATCTGAACAAAGGCATTTTAACGTGATTCCATTTTTTCTTAAAACAGTTGGGTTTGCCTTCTTAAGTGCAAATTTAAGAGCCTATGTTCTCAATAGATTTAAAATTGTAACAGTCTATAGCTATTGTGGAGAAAACTATACAAATATGTTTTGTTCTGTATTTTTTGCTTAAAAAAGTTCTGAGAAACTTGAAATTTGGTTTCCTTGCCTTCCAGTCACATCCTTATCCATTTGGCAAGTGCAGTCATCAGCTGCTCATTTAGGACACTGTGAGAAAAGCTTACAATTCCTATTAGTAGGGGGAATAAGCAGTATCGTGTTTGAAAACACAGATCCTGCTTGTCAGGAAAATGTCTTTTGATAGCAGCTCCCATCCCCACCTCTTGAACTCCCAAAGAATAAAAAACACAGGGTCTCTTCTGACCTTATTTTTAGAACCTGTGCTGTACATTGTATACATGTGAGAAAACAAAATGGGGCAGTCTGCGTGCACGTTGCAACTGTCTTCTGCTGCTCCGGAGGCCTGGCTGTGCATGGGGCATCACAGCTGATGTTTTGGAAGGACTTACAGGGTCATCAAGCAGCGTGAACGCTACAGACTGGGTGGCCCAGCCAGATACAAACCTGCTTTCCTTCTGTATTTAACAGGCATGTCAGCCTTTTCTGGGCCCTTTCTGGTTTTGTTTTCTGGTTTTCGTCAGTCCTAAGTTGAGAGCTTATTTCAGTGCTTGAGGGAGTCATGTTAGGGATTTCATGTGTTGGCATGATTATTCAGTAACATACTAAAGGTACAGGTTAACACTTCAGAAACAGAATCATTGAACTTTGCGATATACAAGTGTTTTGTAGCGTTAGGGGTCTTTTTGTCTAAAACCATCCATAGGCCAACAAATGCAAATGAGAGCTTGTGGTCTTCTTCATTGTGTGTTTTATCAGATGATCTTATGAATAAGGAAGGAATTTTTTTAAAAAAATTAAAGCTTTATTCATATAAAATCCATAGCTTAAGAGGCTTATCCAGCTATTTTAAGATTACATTTTTTATAATTCCTTTTTCTTATGGATTATTTAACAGGAGACAGTGAAAATGGCTGATGGGGATTTTTCTCTCATGTTTCAGTCTTCCCAGTTGCATTTGAAGGATGCATGAAGTCCATTTTTCTTCCATCATCTAACAATTGCTTAGAATTGCCATGCTTAGAAAATCACAGAAATATTATAGTAGTGGAGTAGAAACTCAGGAACAGTTGCCAGAGTAAAACACATATGTTTTCCACAAGAGTTGGAAAGTATGGTATTCATAGCATCAAGCCTGTCAGAGCTCAATGACTGTCTGGATGATGCTCCTAGTCCTACGGTTTAGTTTTAGGTAGTCCTCTGAGGAGCAGGGAGTTGGACTCAATGGTCCTTGTGGGTCCCTTCTGACTTGAGATATTCTATGATTCTCTTTGGTCTTTTTTGATCCATCACGTTAGTTTTGTTTTCTCACACTCTTTGCACTACTGAACTTTCTGTTGTTTTAAAGCCCTAACAGTGTTCAGCCTTCTCAGCTGTAGACCACAGCTGTATTTCCTCTTCTAATGGGAAGAGAAAGGCACACCTCAAATTCCCTTCATGCCTGCAACAACTGGACCTGCTTTGCACATACAATAAAATCTCCTTGTGTTCAGTAACACCCTTTCTGAGCTTGTACTACACAGGTCTTTTGTTTCCTTGAAAGAGAGAGCACCTGGGAACCACATTTTTCTGTGTCCTTCTGGAGTCTGAGATTCAGGGTAGATATTGTTCCAGCTGCAGCAATCCAGTTCCTGATGTCCAGTTCCTGGGGTGCCTGTGCCTTTCTCCTCTGCGTCTGGAGTAGGAGAGAGAATGGCTGAAAGGCAGCAACGGGCTAGACAAAGCTTGCAATATAAAATACTGTCTGGATCCACATGGGGCTTAAAATATGGCTGACACAATTACAAGCGTACAAGGCCAATCTGTCACCATGTTTATTTAATCAAGATCACATAGAGATTTTAATTAAAATAGTGAGCTCATAACGTCAGGCTGGTCATCTGTAACTGACAAGTGTGTTTAGTTACCAAGGCCAAAAAAAAGTCCTTATTTATGCACTAGCTTTGCTAAATAATGGGTAGCTTCTTTAGATCACTTGCAGTAATTTGGCACAGAGTGATATTAAAAAAATTGCTTCCTGTCCAGTTGGTGCCAGTAAGAAAGAGCCCATTATTTTCAATGAGGTGGGTTTGAGCCTTGAATAACTACAACACTGGCTGCTTATCTTAGTTTCTTAAATTTGGAAAATGGGATCAACAGTTTAAACTCCTAATTTTCTAATATTCTGTGGCACCTGTTTTTCAAGCGGTACTTAGGGGAAAAAAAAAGGAAAACCATCATCACTTTTTTGGGTGGATGGGGAGGTTTAGATTTGGCCTAAAATAAAGAAAGAAGATGGTAATGCTGGGTGTCGTCTTAATGTAAATCAGTTAGGCAATAGCTGTTTCTAAACTTGCTAGATGAGACTTTCATGTCTGTTTAGCAGGACAAATTGCTTTATTAATTAAGCTCAGTTCCATAAATCTCTTCTAACTTGCAATCAAATCCCAGCGTAACCTGGATCTTGTTGCTATTGAAGTCTACAGCCCAGGAGAATGGAGCTTAATATTCCATTTGTCCTGTGTTCAGCTATGATGTGACTTGTTAGATGTCATTTTTGCATTGGGAATAAAAATCACTAAGTCTATATTTTAATTGTCTTGCACCAAGAAACAAATAATAAATGGTTTGTGATTTATAATAATTTGTTTTTTAATGAAAATGTATTTCTTGAAAAAAATTTCTTGGAGAAATAACCTTACTAAGTCAAACATAACAATCTTCAAAAAGATTCTGGCAGGACTTAGTGGGGGAAATGGTGCAAAACAAAAGCAGAAACAAACATTCCACAAAAACCTTAGCTTGTGACACTAGTTTTTGTTCATGTTGGATACCTGCTACAATTACAATTCAGATTGGGTTTTTTTTTCAGAGGTACAATGCACAACTACAGCAGTCAATCTCAAGGAGATAGCGTGGTTCATTAGCCACAGGAAAGGAAATTAAGTAACATTTCAGTTGATCATTTTGTATAATAATCGTTTATGTGCATTTGTTTCCCTTCACTGAGCAGATGTTAACCTGCAAGACTTCTCCAGGGGCAAAGTCCATCTCCCTCCCATCATATGGTGCTCCATCTCTTCTCTTCCATATTTCTGTGGGTCCTGTATTCTTCCAGTTCTCTGGATTCTTTGAGGAATCACCTTTAAGAGGGGTTTAGAATAACTCCCACAAAACTCTAAAATTACTGTCATGCTGCAACATTTATAGGTTTCTTTTTCTGAAATAGATATGTCCTTTTTGTCACCTTATTTTCACAAGAGAGTAGAGTTTGTGTCCTCTGGGCTGAGGGCAAACCACGTTAGAGTGTGACAGGGAAAGCTAAATGAGATTAAAGAAATTGCTCATAATCCTGCACAGTTCAGCTTAGGTTTTCAAACAACAAGGCATATGCTATTCATGCGGCTTCCAATATGCAAGTGTTATTTATACACTGACAGAGGGGGGAAAAAAAATAAAAATCAGGCAGGCAGCCAGAGCCCTGTAGATTTTTTTTTTAGCTTTCATCAAAGGGTGCTGCTGAGATGCCTTTTATTGGCTTGCTTTTCTTTTTACCACAGGTGATATTCAGCGGCTGGGTTCCTGCCTCCTCATGATGATTTTCAGACATCTAGGCACTCTTAAAGTCTCATGCAGCCTTTGTTTGAGTACCTTTGCTCATGAAGTTAAGCAAACTTTGCAATCAAACATGACAGGAGGTGTTGATCCACTGGTGTCTTGAAGTTTTTCTTAGTTCTGAGCTACCAAGAGCCCCATTTAGAGTCAGTTCTAGCAGCATCCTGACTACTGATATCACTGACTGTGGGAAGATCCCTAGTGTTTAAATTTGCTAGTATTTTCTCAGACACACAGCCAGTGCTTTGATTAAAAAAATATATCCTATTTTTAACCTTTATTTTGCTTGGTAAAATCACAAAATGAGTAAGTGATTTGAGTTTTCCACTCATTGCTAATTGTATCCTGTTAAGCACTACACTTTGGCTGAACCACAATAACGTGATCAATGATCGTGATATTCTGCCACATCGGGTCACAGGGCAGAGGAAGAGATGTTGTACTGGAGCCTTTTTATACATGGTATATGCTAAGTGCACTCAGTCTTCTTTATTTAAGACTTCTTTCCCCCCTCACCCTCCAATATCATATTGACTGCTATTGTTCATATGCTTAAAGGAGGGAATGAGTATAAACTTTCTGATCTTTTAAAAATGTAATTTGGATTTAATTTAAACAGAAGTTTCTTTGTGGTTACTGTATTTTTGCAGGTGTTTCTGAATTCGTAATACTACCCCCAGTGTAAGTGGGCTGAATTCTTAGTGCAAATAAAATAAGCCAAATTCTTTTCAGATTAAATTCTTATGAAAGCTTTGGTAAATGAAAGAAGAAACTGTGTCTGTGTTACAAAAGATTTTGGGACACCCTTGCTTATACAGATATATAGTGGAAATTTGGTCCTTTTGACAAAATTCTCACGCCTCTCATGATTTCTTTTTGTCTACAGAACCCCCAACTCCTATCGCCCCTCCTGAGCTGCTGGCTGTCGGAGCCACGTACCTGTGGATCAAACCCAATGCCAACTCCATCATTGGAGATGGGCCCATCATATTGAAAGAGGTGGAGTATCGGACAACCACTGGGAATTGGGCTGAAACGCACATTGTAGACTCTCCTAATTACAAACTCTGGCATTTGGATCCTGATGTGGAGTATGAGATCAGAGTGCTGCTCACTCGCCCTGGAGAAGGAGGCACAGGGCCCCCTGGACCACCACTCACAACAAGAACAAAATGTGCAGGTAGGGGTTTCTACGGCTTTACAATAAATATGGCACAGATATTTTGTTTTGCTTACTAACAGATCAACAAATGGTCCTCCACGCATCCTTATTGTGGATGTGCTTCATCAGTAATCTGAAATGACATTTTCAATTTTGATATATCCTGGAATATTTTACTTTTTATTCCATAGGCAAGTGTTTAAGAAGCTGTTGGTTTTATGCATGTAGTGTATTTGCCAAACTTTCTGCTACAGTGTATGGCTGCTTTCTGTTGAAACAAGCAAACACATGAGAGTTTCCCAACCAATTCTTCAGTAGGCAAATTGTTCTCAACACTAGTCTATTATAAAATTTTCACCCTGTAAGTTTGTAACAATGTATTTGTTGTTCCTGGGCAATGGTTCAGCACTGGTTATTAACAAATTGGAAGTGCTATCAATTTATCAGTGCAGTGTGGTGAAGCAGTAAGCATTTAGTTTTTAAGATACATTTTTGTATTCCATTTGATGGAACTTATTCTCCTCACTTCTGACAATGAAACCTATCTGAACACTGTGCAGCATCTTCCCTTTGACTTTCATGTTGGAACAGATCAATTTTGATCCAGGGACAGGAAAAGTCTGTCTTCTTTCTAAGACATATTGGCCTTTCCAGAGAAAACTAAAGGACTGTGTTCCTCATGTTTCAGATATATTGGCTATTCATCCTGTTTTCATACATTAATCATTAGCCATTAAGGGAAATCAAGCTCTGTGCCTTGCAAGGCGATGAACAAAGCAGTTTTCTACCTAGCAAGTTTTTTTACCACACAACTGTCTTCTTAAGGTTTGCATTTTTGTAATTTTTGCAAGGTCCTTTCTGTGGTGTGAACAAATGACAGAGACTAAAAGGCTGCCTTTCTTTTTCTACAACCTGCCTTCCCTCCCCACAATTTAGTGGTTTACAGCAAGTGGATTTAAGTAGTGGAGAGCTTATGCAAAAGCATTCTTGTTTTCCAGTTGTTCTTTCTCACCGAATAGCAAGTCTGAAGTGTGCAGAATGCATCAAGAACAGCCAGATGCCATCCTGGGATGGGATTAACCCATGTTAGAGTTCCTCACCCACTGTCACAGTATATGAGCATCCGCAGCAGCATCCTCTTCCTCTACCAACAGAGGAAGCCTGGCAGGTTGATTGTGTTGTGGGGCAGGAGGGGGCACATCCTTACTGCCTTTCCTTCTTTATACAGGTTATAAAGCAGTGAACATTTAGTGTCTTTTTGAGAAGAATCGGTTGGGAAAAAAATAAATCTGAGCATGAGGATCTGGCATGTAGGTGTTTGCTATATTCAGCACCTGTCCATTGATAGAAGGCAGGTGTTTGGAGGCTTTTCTGCAGCTAGGTGGAAAGCATGAAGTGACATGGATGATGTCCTGGCCTATTTGGGAAATTTGCACATGCTCTGCTGCTCATCTTCTGGCTGTCTTCTCCTTCACTAGTGTGGTCAGATTCTCTAACCTTCAGCAGAAATAACTGGAGGCCTGGCCCAGGACTATGCATTTACATATGAATATATGACATGCTGAAATTTGGTCTGTAGTTCAGGCATAGTGACTTTGCAGGCACACACTCTGCAGCAGCCAAACTTGCAAACGTTTCTGTATTACCTGTAAAGAATTCTTGGTTTAGTTTAGTTCAGGAGTAAAAAGAAAATGATGTTGGCTTTGTGCTTAATGATGTCTTATACTGGATCCCAAATTGCTGAGTTTCCTTACTCAGCATAGGGATTGGCTAACATCATAAAGGACGACGTAGATAATTCATTCAAATTGGCTAAGCGGTGCCACTCACTATTTTCCACCCTAATTTACTAATGGAAATCTAACTGGAGAAGGTAATTCTATTAGCGTTAGTTGTCATACAGAGCTTGTTGAGATTGATGGTGATAGCATTTATGTTTTGTTTAGAGCATTGGGTGGGAGAAATTGTAATGATCTTGATCTAAGCATGGACTTGAAGGAAGGGAGAGACATACCCAATATCTAACTTCCACAAAATGCCAACTGAAATGATAGACAAGAAAATGCAACTCATTCCAATTTCCATATGTTGTGGAACTCTTTCAAAATACCCTATTTCAAGGGTAAATACACAAAACTTCCATGGTTCCATTTAAAAAATGTGCTGAACCAAGAAAACAGCACTACTTGCTTGATTTTTCTGAGTACATAACGAATGACATCAATGAAAATTGAGGGGTTTTTTAAATAGTTGAGGGATGCATGATGCTACTTTTTTCAAGTGATTTTTTTTGGTTCTTTTCTTTGTCATTACTTTTTCTTAGCAAGAGGGAAGTACCAAACTCCTACACATTCGTATGCCATCAGTAGATGACTGGGGCAGTCCTCTTCTGCTGGACTGTTTAGTGTTGGTACTGTGTTTATTAGGCCCACGAATAAAGATAACAAAGTTGACTGCAGAAGTAATAGTCGGGAATATCATCTATACTGGAGAAGAACTTAATTATTTAAATCGCAAGAAATCAATGTAACCATAAACAGAAGGTATCTGCAACCTTCCAACAGTGAGAAATCAATGTCCCTTTAACTAAATAATCTCCTTGGTGTATTTTCACATGGACATTGCATACTTGTGTGCTAGGGAGTCTGAGTAACTACCATCATAGCCTTCAGTTTAGGCACACCTTGCAAGAAGATTCCTGTTTTTTATTTTCATCTCCAAATTAGAACAGGATTTGGGAAGGACCATGCTTTTCTTCCACTTCAAATCAAGCAGCAGAAGCTCATTTACAAAATTGCGGTTGTCTGCTGTGAGTTTCTTGACTGCCAGCCTGAGCAAAAGCATGACCAGAGTAGCTCAGCGTGAGCTCAGAAAGTCATTATACCATGATGCAACTCTTATCAAAATCATTCATGATTTTCAGATTTTTGGTCAGAGTGAATGGAAGTTGTTTACATGGACTTTAAAAAGTTTTTCATTATATGAACCCCATAAAAACTAATTATGAAAGGTCTTGCTTTAAATGAGCACAAAGAAGTTTTATTAAACTGGATAATATCTTATCTAAATTTCTATAAACAGTATGTGCCCAGGCATCCATTATCCCACTGGTGATGTGTTTGGTTTTCTACAGGACAGCATTACAAGACTTCATTTATATTTGATCTTTAGAAATGATACTGAAAATTAAGTTCCAGCTTGCTTCCTTCCTGGAAAAGCCAGAGAACACGGCAAACCCTGCCTTTGTAAATGAATGAATGATTTTTTTTTTGTTATTGTTGTGGCTTCTGTGTTTGGGGTTTTTTTTCATAGACTGTGACAGGTTGTGACTTGGGGCAGGAAAAGATTAAATGACCTTGAGGCATAAGACTGTAAACTGTCAATCTGAGAGAAGAGTTGCTCAGCAGGGAGTGGGGAAAAGAGAAAGACTGCTTAAGGTTAAAACCAGACACAGGGTTGAGGGGTGGTTAAAGGAAAAGAAAATATAAAATATTACTTTTTACCCCCAAAATAATAGGTTGGGGAAGACAACAGGATCAGAGTAGTATGTTTGAACACAGTTCCCAGTAGTGCCAGTAGTAGTTCAGCACTGGTCTTTTGGGGTTTTTTTAGCCATCCTCAATAGTTAAACAGAGCTCTTTAATATCCTTGTTTCATGGGCTTCATTCAAGAGCGTGCTTTGGAAAGCTGTGATTTGGGAAGCTTGAGGCTTGTTTTCTTCTCTGTGCTTATTTACTATTCCCCTGCTTTTTATCTTTCTCCATTTGCCAGAGAAAGGAATAGCGGGAAATCCTTTTTTTCTCTGGTGGATGGGAAAGAGAAGGGAAGATCTTGCAAGAGGTCACTAGTGTTTGTGTGTGAAATCTCATCTGAAAAATGTTTGCCTTCTAGTGGGATGAACTTGCATGAAAAGCAAAGCCAAAGAGTAGCATTTAAATGAATGTTAATAAAAGGACAGAGAAGACTTTCTTTAAAAAGAATATTTAGATCTAGTTAAAATACTTTCTGAAAAAGCTGTCTTGAATATTAGCTTCTCTGCCTGTGAGAACTGGTGACTCATAAGATGAGGAGGGTTCTGCGACCTTGAGGCTTGGAAGCAGGAAGCTTTCCAGTCTGACAGAAGAGTTGCTTGGTAAGGAATGGGAGGGGAGAAAAAGTCCTGAGAAACCCCATAATCTCTCCTCCCCCCGTTCCCTGCCTC